CTCATGAGGACCCTTATTCCCAGTACAGCTAAGCATGGATTGCTGGACCCCATTCATGGCAACTTTCTTCTACTCTGGGTTCTTTTGACCCTTGGATTACAATGTAATTCTATAATGCAAGTACAGGCTCCATTTGCAATGACAGGATCCATTTTCTTCTTAGCAGATCTCTAACTCCAATGAAGTCTGAGTCTTATGGAATTCATTGTGGGTCCCAGATATTCTTCATCAGCCTCCAACTCAGTACTCACTTTCGTCTGGTACCAAGATTCAGCCTCAGCCCGGCTCCTCTGAGCAATCTCCTCGTATTGGGCCTTGACCTCAGCAATGATGCTGTCCAGGTCCAGGCTGCGGTTGTTGTCCATGGAGAGGACCACAGATGTGTCTGAGATGTGAGTTTGCATCTGAGACAGTTCCTACAGAACAGAAAGAGGCAACATCAGCTTTGGATGTGAGGGTTACAATGTTCCCAACATCCCACTCTCCATTTGCACAGGAGAATGTAATGGAAATAAGGCCTAAGCGGAAGAGGGAGAAGGACAGAGAGAGGCACACAGACAGACAAATAGACAGACAGAGACAGAGATAAAGAGACAGAGGCAGAGAGACACAGGGGTGACTTACTGCATCGTAGAGAGCTCTCAGGAAGTTGATCTCATCTGCCAGACTGTCTGCCTTGGCTTGCAGTTCAACCTTATTCATGTAGGCTGCATCTACATCCTGAAGACAGTCAATAACATGGATTCAGGTTAACTCCCTTGTCCTGTCCATTTTCCTTCACCTCCCTGGTTATTGTGCTCTGGCATGGACCAGACATGCAAAGCATTTCTGTCCATCTGCAGAGAAGTCATCCCTATGATTTAGTCAGCTCACCTTCTTCAGTGTCACAAATTCATTCTCTGCTGCAGTACGCTTGTTGATTTCATCTTCATATCTATGAGAGGGGGGGTGTAGCACATTGTAGCCAGTGAGTAGATGGCCTCTAAGGCCTGTGACCAAGCCCCCAAAGTCTATAAATGCAATGTATCCCAACAATACAATTTTGGGCAATTTTTCTGTTAATCAATAATTCTTTCCTTTCTCTCTAGTAGCCCCCTATAACCCTTTATGGGCTTAGTCTCTTGCTCCTGGGGAATTATTTGTTCTTTCATCTTTATGACTGGGCTTTCTTAATGACTGGACTCCAAGTCTAGATTTGGGTCTACATTATCATGAACTTTGGCAAACTGAATTCTTTTTTTTTTTTTAAACTCACTTGTTCTTGTAGTCCTCCACTGTATCCTGCATGTTCCTCAGCTCTGAGTCCAGGCGGCCCCTCTCCCCAAGGATGCTGTCCAGCTGCCTCCTGAGGTTGCTGATGTACTGCTCAAACATTGGCTCCAGGTTCTGCCTCACGGTCTTCGTGCCCTGCTCCTGCAGCAGGGCCCACTTGGTGTCCAAGACTTTGTTCTGCTGCTCCAGGAACCGCACCTGGAGGGGCCACGTGTGAGCAGAAATTTGAGTTTCATTCTTATGTGACCCTTCACTAGTGTGATGCCTGTCTCAGGCTGTCTGCCTAAACCCATTCAGTGTATGCAGTGCCTGGCCCCAGGGTCTGAGAGACAATCCAGAGTGGAGCTCCCAACATCTTCCCTCTGAGGAAGGCAGAGCTCTCAGGCAGGGCATAGGCAGCCTAGAAGAAGCATGCTGGATTGTAGTTCAGTTTAGCGTGTCTGGGATGATTCCCAAACTGCCCTGTAGAGACTTCTCCCTCAGTACAGTCGTCTGTGATGTGAGGCCTGAGCTCATCTCAGCACACCTGAGTGAGACACTCTTATGGGGCCACCTCTGAAGAAGAGGAACTCTGCCCCTGATTGTCAGCTGTTAGTCTGACTAAAGAGACAAAGCCAGGACATGGTAAACCAGAAACCATGGCAGTGTTTGGGCAAAGCCTAGAATATCTTCCCTCCTCCATTGCCTTTGGCTTTCCCTCCAGAGCCTGCTCCTGCATAGGCTGTTCTAGAAAGAACCACGTCTCACCTTGTCGATGAAGGAGGCAAACTTGTTGTTGAGGGTCTTGATCTGCTCACGTTCCTCAGTCCTCACCCTCTGGATTGTGGGGTCAATTTGCAGGTTCAAAGGTTAACGGTGACCTCTTGGATGCCTCCAGGGGGGCACACAGGGAAACCAGCACCCCCATAGCCACCACCAAAGCCAGCTCCTCCACCGAAGCCAAATCCACTGCCGGCTCCTCCTCCAAAGCCGAAGCCTCCTCCAACTCGGCTGCCATAGCCTCCTCCAATGCCACAGCTGCCCCCTCCAATGGAGATCCTCTTGGAGCTCCCCACACCATAGAGACTCCTGCTGCCAAAGCCAGCTCCTCCACACACAGCCCCAGAGCCACCACTGCCCCGGGAGCGGCACACAGACACACTGCTGAAACCAGAACGGTTGAGCCCTGGCACTCTGGCTGAGCTGGCACTGAAGCCACGGTGGCTGGTTTGACTCCTGATGGTGGTTTTGGTAGACATGGTTCCTGTAGATGAGAAGTCTGTGAAGTGGAGGTACTGCAGGGCAGAGCTGGGCAGATGAGGATGATCGGCTCTGGGCAGCTGCTTATATATGGTATAGATGGGCTGGGCTAGGTCCTGAAGGTGAGCTTGTAGAGTGGGAAGGGCAGGGCTTTACAAATAATGAGATCACCCCCAAGTTCTAGAAAGGTATGATACATGAAGATTGCTTTTGGCTTCCTTTAGTCATGGAGCAAATTCTCCTGCCTTCCAGCCTTGACTTGATCCGAACACAATGAGCCTGGACGTAAATTCTCTGAAGTCATGAGTTAGTCATCTTCTCAAACAAAAGAGACAAGGAGCTGATCTGTGATAATTGTCCCTTCATTCTGCTTATTTAGACACTCCCTGTGTGCCCCCTCACCACACAGGTTTTCCCTTCCATCTGCCCCTCCCTCCCCAGCTCAGTCAGACTCTCCCTGAAGTTGTAAAGGCATTTGCCTAATATCCCAATCAAAATTGCCAGCTACATGGAATTAATTCTTCTGTAGCTCCTGGCTGCTCTTCCTGATGGTCTGGGATGCCCAGAAGAGGCTTTTTGCCCAGATAACCCTTTTCTCTAAGGCCAAAGAATAGAGAAGTTGATGCTTTTCACTGTAAGACTATCATTGACCGTGTCCTGTATGTTAAGTGTCACTTAACAGTTTCCTGAGGACAGAGGCACACACCACCTGTCTTCTGCAGGTGTTCCCTCCCAGCCGTAGCCTCCCTCCCCACTGTTTGCTCTTTCATCAGTCTGTTTCTTTTTAAATTTATTATTATTATTACTATTATTATTATTATTATTATTATTATTATTATACTTTATATGCATTGGTGCTTTGCCTGAGTGTATGTCTGTATGAGGGTGTCAGGTCCCCTGGAACTGTAGTTAGACAGCTATGAGATGCCATGTGGGTGCTGGGACCTCTGGAAGATCAGTCAGTGCTCTTAACTGTTGAACCACCTCTCCAGCCCCCAGTCTGATTCTTGAGTGTAACAGTCTTTCCACATTCATAGACATTGTCCTCTGTGCTGTAATGTGTTGGATGTTGTCTTAGAGCTTAAACTAAAGAACACCAAATGGGAAGTACCACAGTCTCCCAGGAATTCTCAGATTTTTTTAACATTGATTTGGACATTTCTCAGGAATCAGAGTTGGTATACGTAGGGTGTGTCTAGAAAGTTGAGGGGGCATATAGAAGCAATGAATCACTGAAATGTACCCTTACAAGTGTGGTGATTTCACAAGTCCAATCTCAATTTATATTTCTAGTCTAGTTTCTTGAAAAAGTCAAATTTCAAAGGAGAGCTATTCTTGCTTTCCAGGAGAGAATGGTTTGCTCCTTCCAGTCCATGCACTAGGAACCACACATGAGGAAAAGAGAACAGTTCCAGGTGTGTTGTTTCTGAGAACATGTAGCTGGAGAAGCATCTGTGGGAAGACGGGCCAACTCCCACACTAAGCAGAGCCTGCACAAGGTCCTGGTCCTGTTTTGAATTCAATCACTACTCTCTGGCATGCTGGGGACCCAACATCCAGGAAGGTAGGAAGCTCCCAGCTCCTCAAAGGTGCTAACTCAGCGTCTGGCAGGACAGAGATACCTTCTCCAGACAACGGAAGCATCTGCCCTCCCTCCACCCTGTTGCACAATGTGCTTCCACCCAGTTCTGGGAAACAAGTGCTTCTCATGGTTTGCAGCACCGATTCTCGCTCCTCTCTTGAGTTAGGGGTACTAGGTGTGGTTGGACTGCAAAGTAGGGAAGTCAGTTGATGCAACATGTGTCTTCCCATTTCCCTACTCTATGTCTATTTCAATGTCTGTAACTGCTTCACATAGAGACAACCAAGACTGCGATTTGCAAAGCCGGAAGGATTCACCATTCATTTAAGGAAGTCCTTTGCCAGCCCCTGGTGCAGAGCATGAGCCCTAGGGTCAGAAAGAGCAGGTTCCCGTGTGTTCATATGCAAACCACTGAAACCTTCATGTGTGCTTTTATAGCCATAGACAAGATGAAAACTGTGCCTTCCTCACAGCATTGTGAAGCAGAGATGAGAAAATGTTCTCAATGAGGATGAGCTAGTTGTCGTTATTAGAAAGCAGGGTAATGAAGTTTTATATGTAGGGATCTATGAGAAGCGTTGGAAACTGGAACACAGGTACAGTATTTATGTGTATGGGGGTATTTGTTGGACAGCAGGATAAACGAAGCCACTATTGCCAAGTTTGTGCTATGTTTAGCAAGGACCTGGAAGCCATGTGTAGGAGAGCCTGCCAGAGCTGCAGTCAACAGGACAGCAACAGGCTAGGAAGAGTGACTTACCAGCAGGATTGGCAAAGCCCACCCTACTGCCTGTTGGAGCTGTGTCTCCTGGTCAGAGAGCAAGAAGCTGGCTCAAGTCCAGTAGGCTACATTCCCTCCTTTGGAGCCAGGCTACCTGTTCACCTTCTGCTGGGTTCCTATCTGTCTCTGGCTGTGCAGGGACATGATGCTATTGACCAACATAGGTGACTGCACCATTTTCTATGTTTTTGAGGGTGGTATACTCAAATGAAATGTGTCCTTTAGTTGCAGCACGGACCTCACTTTTAGTCATTGAGCCCATCAGCGTTTGGGTTAGCCTCAGCTTTCTATCTGACACCCGCCCGCCCCTGCTTGGCATATGCTCCAGACAGCACCAGTATAAAGTGTCATTTGATTCTCTGACACAAGCTTGCCCATTGGAAGACTAGTAAAGCATATTCTAGCGCAGTGGTTCTCAACCTTCCTAATGTTTCGACCCTTTAATACAGTTCCTCGTATTGCAGTGACCCCAACCATAAAATCATTTTTGTTACTACATCATAACTATAATTTTGCTATTGTCATGTATCATATTGTAAATATCTGATATGCAGGATATCTGATATGTGGCCCCTATTAAAGAGTCTCTTGACCTCTGTAGGCGTGGAGACCCACAGGTTGAGAACCAAGGTTCTAATATAAAATCCTCTTAGCTGGGCAAGGGTTTGAATGACTTCATCTGGGAGGACTCAGGGGGAGGAGGGAGCGTGTGTGCACACTCATACACACACACCCTTTCTCTTTCTCTTTTTCTTTTTCTTTTAAATACATGCTTACTATTTAGCCACGGCTGGCCTAGAGTTCTGTAGATGAGGCTAGCCTTGGACTCAGAGAGATCCACCTACCCCTACCTCTGTCTCCTCAGTGCTGGGATTAAAGGCAAGTGTCTTCACCTTACTTTAGTATCCATGGGAGTTCCAGGTTCCTGAAAGTTTAGAGACTTACCCGAATTCTCCCTGGTAGCCCTGAGTCATGCCTCCCAGTGTCACCCCAGGCAGTTCTGTTTCCCAGAGGAGCCAGGTGAGGAAGGGCCATCTTTCATAATAAGACGAGAACAAAGGGTGATAGTTCAGGCAAATATGTGGGGGAAGAAGCCAGCGATGTGAGTAACTCAATGGCAGCTGGCCTCCTCCTCTGCAAGCTGTTGAAGACAGCCTCTTTCCTGTGCTGGAAGAGTCCTTTCAGTCCAGCCTGCAGCTGCCTCAGGTGGCCATGGAATGTAGAATGCCCTGTTCTTGGCCAGAGGGTAGCCTGCCCTGCTCACTTTGTTCCCAGAATGGAGGTGGGTCAGAGGGAGGTGTTGAAGCCTGGGCTCAGGGAAAGTCGCCTCAAGATGATTTGCCTTGTCTTCCAGCCTCCCTGGGTGGAGCCCGTTGGCGGATCACGGAAGGTTTAAGACTAAGCATGTAATCCCACAAACCACAGGGCAGGATGATGCTGTTCCCAGGGAATCCCACAACTGATTCTTCGGGAGTATCCCAAGAGAAAGAAAACATGTGCAGCTGTAAGCACGTGTGAGAACATATTCAGCAGCTCCACGGGTGGAACGCTCAGACTGCTATTACACAGCCAGTGTCAGGTGGTCACTGCACCCGATATGCACTAAACTTCACTCTCCCTTGTAGTTGCAACTGCACCCCCATGTACCCCCTCTTTTTTCCCAGAGAACACACCAGGCCAGGTCACATATCTGAAAACCTGAGTGGCTTCTACTACAACTAAAGTCTCTGCATCAGGTAAACTGTGAAGTCCAGATGGTACTGCAAAGGCATTTTCCACATTGCTTCATAAGCTGCTTGGTTCCAAGCACTGGGCCGCTTCTTAACTGTGTTTCCTAATCCCCAGATGTTACTCCCTGGGAATTTGAAACTGAGATGTGTCCTAGACCTCTTCTTTACAGAAAAGAGAAACATATGACTTCCATTTCTGCCACCCACAGTAGCACATGGCAAGAGGGGTCTGAGATGCACCTGAGGGACTGGTAATTGCCTGTGCCAGGAGGGGCATGCATGCATGTACAACTGTAGAACTATCCCTGTTGTCTTATTGATCAATTTTGGTATTTGTTTGTATAAAACCTTGCTACAGGAGAAACATTTTGAAAATGATTGGTTCTTTTTTTATCCACTTAGCCCCTATGGTATTTAGGGCACTGGAAAGCACAGAGATGGGCTTGGGATTGAAAACATATTTGAAAGGAAGGGACAGCTGTGGCCTCTCTGGCCAATATGGAGAAAGTAGTTGAAGGAATACTTTATCTTGATTTGAGGCAAGAAGAGATGCTGAGATTCCAGAGTGGTTGGGAAGGTGGGAAGGCACAACTGAGTGGCAGAATCAGCCCAGGGCTTGCCTGGACGAGCAGGACAGGGGCCATAGCAGAGGTGCCAAGTAGCTTAGGCTTCCCACGTATGCCCAAGATTAAAAAGAGCCAAGCCAGGGCTCAGAGGGGCCAGGACAATCTCCAAGTGGAATGCTTTCCCGCCCTCTAATCCCCTCCTCATTTGTGCCCTGGTTTCCTCACCATCAATACAGGATCCACCTTACTAGACTGTGTGACTTTCAAAACTGTAGTGGGCAGGAAGGGCGGGATAATCCAAGGTTCTGCCAATGAAATACAAAAGACAAGTGTCTTACAAAATGGAAGTGGCCAGGTGAAGTTGTCATAGGGAATCATGCCTTAATAATACAATTGGCTCCTGGGTAAACTGAGGAAAACAGGGCCTTTTGAATGTGATGAGTCATTTCTCCACATTGGAACAAATTTGCAGTAACCCTACCTGCAATTCTCATAGCAAAGCTACCTGGCTTCCAAAGCACAGACACCCTAGACAGCAAAACTCTTACCATCAGTGCTGGGATTTCTTGGCACCCAGTGGTTCCTTCTGCCTTTATGATCTCACCTGAAGCCTGAGGTTGGGATTAATGACAGATCATTGATAACTCTGGCACAAGTCTGTGGCACTTATGTTGCAATTTAAGCCTCTAAGGGATCGGCCTATTTCCTTCTCCTTGGTCCTTGCCCTCTCTCAGACACTGGAAAGAAATAGCCTGGATCATTCTAAACTGGCAAGAGGAACATTCAATGTGATTAGGAAAGTCTGCGCCCTGGAGTCGCTTGGTGGACTGGCGAATCTGGAATCTATTTCCAGCACACTTCTTTCTGTCTGTCTCCACTACAGAAATAAGAAACGGGAAATATTTTCCCCTTCTTTTAAAACCACATTTTGCTGAGGTATAATTTACATATAAAGAAATGCAAAGATCTTAAGTGTGTGGAACTCAAATTTTTCTGATAAAATCACATGTCTCTATAACCCATAAGCCAGCAAAATAAAATATTTATTCCCATTGCTCCAGAAAATTCCTTTGGGGCCTTCCTTGTGAATTCCACTGCTCCAAGAAAACATTTGATTTTTCCCACCAAATATCCATACAGTATATATTTATACTGTTACATATGAATTTATAATTTATTATATTAGTAGATTCATTGTGTATCTGTCCTTTTTCACTTAGTGGTGTTTTTTATTGTGCTTTGTAGCTGAGTGGTGTATGAATATGTTAGGGTTTGGTTAACACATTCCTATTCATAAATTCCTAGGATATTTCCAGCCAGGGGTTCCCTTGAATAAATGAGTGTTGAACACACTAGCATTTCTAGGAACATAAATATTTACTTTGGATAAATGGATACCTTAAAATGGAATTCATACACTGACAGAAAATTTACATGAATTTTTAAAAAAACTTCCTATTTTAAAGTAATGTTTAGTTCACAAGAAGACTAAGCAGTGTGTCTCACCGAGCTCACCCTCCAGTCAGGTGGTATGATGGTTACGGTGCACGAACCTGCCTGACATGATGTTTTCACCTAAAGTGCTCGGTTAACATTAGGGCCATTCCAGCTGTAGGTCTTGAAGAATATGCAATGATGGAATTTCATTCATCTAGAAAAATCCTATAATTAAAACCGAAACCCCATGATTCACTTATATATCCCTTCTGCTTCCTGTTATTGTTGGCCAATGACCTTTTAGTTTTCAGAGTCTTTTTCCAGAATGTAATGATAGATGATAGATAGATTGATTGATTGATTGATAGGTGACAGATATGGATAGAGTGATTGATAGGATGATAGATGATAGATAGATAGATTGATTGATTGATTGATTGATAGGTGACAGATATGGATAGAGTGATTGATAGATGATAGATAAATAATAGACAGATAGATGATAAACGATGAATAGATAGATAGTAGATGATTGATTGATGGTAGATAGAGAGATAGACAGACTGGTAGATAGCTATCAGATGCTTAAGAACATAACCTTTCAGATCAGTATTTTGCATTTAGTAATGTACATTTAAGTTGTCTTCATGTATTTTTATGGATAGCTCTTTTTAATTCCTGAATAATATTTATTTTCTTGATATTCCACAGTTTGCCTGTTCACCTACTGAAGGAAATCAGGGTTTCTTCCTCAGTTCAGTATTCAGGAATATGACTGCTTTAAAAGCCCATATGGAGGTTCTTGGATTGTCATGCACTTCCAACTCATTTGTGCCAACACAGGGAATATGATTGCTAGATTTCTGGTGCAAGCATGTTTAATTTTGTAAGAAACTACCAAAGTCTTTTCCAAAGTGACTGGTCAATTTTGTATCTCCACCACTTTCAACCACAACTGCCTTTTGTTCACCACACTGGCAGCATTGGGTGGTGCCTGGGTTCTGGGCTTGGGCACCATTTGAATAGCTTATAGTGATGTCTCATTTGTAGTTCTTTCACATATTGTGATATTGAACAGCCCCTTATGCTTATTTGCCATCTGATTATGCATTATCAATTATACATAATTAAGTGATGGGTCTTATAAGTTTACTAATACATTTATATATACCAAGTGCCTTGTTTCTCTTATTATTGAGTTTTTAGAGATCTTTGTACATTTTCCATATCAGATACATTTTTGAAAATATTTTCTTCCAGTCTGTGGCTTTACTACTCATTCTCTTGGCATTGTCCTTTGTGGGATGGAGTTTTAATTTTAATGAGGACCAGCTTTTCAGCTATTTCTTTCGTGTCTCTTTTGTTATATCTACAAACATATTGCCCAAGGTTGTCTGGGTTCTCTCCTTTGGTAACTGTAGGGAGTCCATACTTTTACACTTTACATTAGGTGCTATGAACAACTTGAGTTAGTTAGGTTTGTGGAAAATGAAAGGGCTGCACCTAAATTAGTGTTTCATGAATGGGTATACAGTTGTTGCAGAACTCTCTGTAGGAAAGACATCTTGCTCCACTGGAGTACCATTGTGTCTTTGTCAAGGACCAGTTGGTTAGATTTCTGTGGGGCTAGTTAGAAGATCTGTATTGTGGTCCATTTTACCTATCTGTAAGTTCTTTCACATGTTACACAGCCTTGGTTACCATGGCTTTGCAATAGTCAAAGCCAGGGATGACCACTGTTCTGCCTTGGTTCTTTTTTGTATTGTGGGCTGTTTAGGCATTTTATATCTGTGTAAAAAGGTTTGAAATCACTTTGACAATCTAACAAACTATCTTGCTGGGAGTCTGAGATTGCCTGGAGTCTATAAAGCAAGTTAAGGGAGGGGCTCATAGGGCCTTGCTGAGACACAGGCATGCACCACCACATCTGTGGTCAGGTCTACTTTCACAGGACACAGTCTTCTTTCAGGACCACAGCAAATTCTTTGTAGTCACCATGTAACCGAATTTCCTTCCTCTTGTCTTCTTCATTGCTTCACACAAATATTGCAAACACACTGAAGATGTAGTTGTGATTATAAATTTAGTAGCAGACTGTGTTGGATCAATGTAGAGGAAAAATACAAAAGCTTTTCCTTTTTCTTTGCTTATTCCTTCTCCATCATTCGTTCTTCCTTTAGGGAAGATCCGTTGCCGGCTTCTGCAGTATTCCTACTCAGTGAAGAGATTCTGTTGACATTTTTTCCCAGGCAGCACATTCCACCAACTTCGTTTGTCTAAGGAAGTCTATTTTTCTCTTTAGCTTTTTCCCCAGTGCTGGGGATGGAGCCCGGGACTTTACCACTGAGCCACATCCCCAGCGTTTTAAAAGCATTCCCCTATTTTGAGACAGGATCTTATCAAGTTGCTCAAGCTGGCTCTGAACTCACTGTGTAGCCCAGACTGGCTTTAAATTTACCATCCTTCTCCTTTGGGCTGATTAGCGATGGAATTATAGGTGTGAGCCACCATACCTGACTGTCCTTCCTTCACTTTTATAGAGAAGATTTTTTAAAATACAGAATTTCTAGGTTAGTCGGCTTTTGTTTCCTTTGTATTGACAATCTCTAGCCACTCTCTTCCTGACCCATGGGGAAGGAGTTCTCTGAAGACGCCGAGTGCGTGCTTATTATTCATTGCTCCTTGACAGGTCATCTGCTTATTTCCTTCTAAAAAATTTCCTCTTTGTCACTGATGTTCTGAAGTGTGAAGTGATGCACATGTGTGGTGTGTTCCGTTATCTGTGATTTGGTAACTGACATCAATTTTAGGAGATGCTCTGACATTGGTCATTAGTGACTCTGGTGGAGGCTTTTGTTTATTTGTTTGTTTTTGGTTTCTTCTGTCTGTCCCTCTAGTCCTGTTTCCCAGTGTCCCCATCCATATGTGTTATACCTTCCATAGGGGCATATTCTTGAAACGAAGGTTTTATCATCTTTGGTACCATTTTTTCCTGGGCCTCTTTTGTGTGGTGTGTGTGTGTGTGTGTGTGTGTGTGTGTGTGTGTGTCCTTTCAGTTTTGTTGGGTTCTATCATTATAGTCTCATTCCAGAGAACGCTAATCAAAGAATCTGTAACCGTGCCCTGCCTTAAGCAAACCCCCGTTTCATTGTGGTAGAACATTGTTTCTTAGCCTCTCTTGTTTCCCTTCTTTCAGATCAATTAGGCTTGGCTGGAAGCTCAGCAAAATCATTTGTGATTGTCAAGAGCTCCGGAGAGAGGCAGGCAGTTAAGAACAGAATGCCATTTCAAAAACAGTTCATTTCCGCTCCCCCTGCTGGAGGCATGAGGGGATTTTTTTCCAGCCTTCTCTCTCTGCACAGACTTGGTAGAGCCCCTAGAGGTAAAACTCACTAAAGCATGGCTGTTTCTTGCAACCTGAGTCACCTCATTGCACTGAGCCACCTGTCTGTCAAGTGCCCTTTTGATCTTCCTCCAGGTGGCAGTGGCGTTGTCTACCCCAGCAAACTGGGATTCTCTATCATTGTCTGTCTGTCTGTCTCTCCATTCTGTGGGCTCAGTTCTCTGCTGAGTGAGGAGGGATTGTTGCCTTTCATGTTTCCAGCTTTGAGGAAATACCTCCAGATGTCCATGGGTGGGCAAGGGTCTCACAACTGGAAGGTCATTAGAAACCTGAGGCCTGGGAAGTCTTTGGAGGCAGTGACTTTTCCTCCCTGACTGTCATTCCCTCAGCTGCACCATTGAAGCATCTTCTGTCTCTTGCTGTGGTTTGCAATCTGGCTTGCAGCATGCACTTCAAGCTGCTTTGTGGCCTTGGTGAGCTGTAGATGAACGCTGTGTGTGGCAAGCTTACACATGGATCTCTGTTGCTTTGGGTTAACTTTGTAAGTTCCACTTTATAGATTTCATTGGTCTGAATCAGAAATCATAATGATTGTCATTTAGGAGGAGGAGTTGTAGGGTTGGGTCTCTCATTAAAATACCCTTGGTTGCTGTGCCACAGTACAGAACCATCTACATGTCCAATGTTAAGCTCTGCTTGCCGGTTCTACTATAAACCACTGATACTAAGCTCAGTGGGATGTCTCTTACCCTGTGGCTGTTGGTTGTATGTCTCAGGCTGGCACAGCCTTCTTTTTATGAAGTGTGCAAGGAAAAGACTGATAAACCCTTCAGTAAATGGTCCCATTGTGTTGTGGCTTACATAGAGGAAGAAAGTTACTAAGTGGCATGCTGACGCCACACTCCATCATGCCCTATAAAATTCATTGGCTGCTACTAATATTTCCTAGGCCTCTGTGGGGAATTAAAAAAAACCCTCTTCCTCTGGGCTATAGAGGCAAAGCAAGGAATTACACGGTTATTTCTGTGGGAGCAGCCTCCTACCCCAGTAATAATGATATGGACCTCTCCAGAGATAGACATATATCAATATCAAGTCTCTAGTCTTGCCATAGTACATCCACACACAGGAAAGCAGGGGAGGAGTTGGAACTTAGGGGAGATAAAAGAGTTGGGATTGGAGGTGAGGGAGAGGAGTTGAAATTAGGGGAAGAAAAATAATAAAACGGATTTCCACATTTTGATATGAGTAGAAATCTCAGCTGCTCTGAAAGAATTCATACAGCAAAAAGATCAAAAGATGTACCAGTTGGTTTTGGGTATTTACCACATAGGTTATGAATCGCATTCACATCTGCTGGAATACTCCAGAAGACAAAACTTTATGGCTTTAGTCCACACTGGAGTTCCAACTACACTTATACATGAGGGTCCCACTAGACATGAATGGGATGTCACTGCAGCCTTGGGGGTTCTAATGACTGAATCCAAAGGAGAACCAGCCTGCCTCCTCTATCTCATCAGAACTATTGATTCCTAAATGTCCCCACAATTGTGTCATCTCTTAAATACCTGAGTCTGAGTCAAGAGATTAAGTCTTTGACACCGACAAACTTTCTTGAAAGAAATGGACTTCATGGGCCTTCCTTCCCAAGTTCAAATAGCTGCCCAGAGTCAATGAAGCAGATGCCATGATGGTCTGTTCATGGGATCTACTCAGGCATGAGGAGATGGTTTCACCTACTCCATACAACACAGCAGGCCTCTGTTTATACTTGGAAAGAACGACTTGTTCTGCACAATAGAGTTCCACAGCCTTAAGGTCATAGCAATAACATTCCTACAACAAACATTGCTGAAAGAACTGCCTTGCCCAGCCCATGCCTCTCATGAATTCAGCTCACAACACTCTATTCAGGGCCTATTTTAACAGCTTTCACCTCTGACCTTACAACCTGGCTTTCCAGACATCCTTAAAGGGGATTTATTTTATACAACCACTCCTGCATGAGTGCAAGGAAGCTCACCTAAGAGGGAATGCCAGCATCACACACAGAGGTCCTGCCATCTTAGGTCAATCACCAATGTTACTTGGTGATCTGTGAAGTACTAGGTCCCTGACACTGACAAGAAGTGTCCATTGACCCTCTTGGTGTCCGTGATGTTAGAAAATCTCAGCATCTTTTAGGCCTTTTGGAGCCCTGTGCCAGTTGATCCTTCATTTATAACCTCAGTTAAGCCCATTTGCCCATTTATCTGTTCCTAACCAATCATCCTGTCTTAATAGCCCTGCCCCCCAATAACATCTACCCAAGTGTGACTCAGTGGACACTCCCCTTTGTGCCTTCCTGTGGAGACTGTCTCACTGACTGAGCTTCTGAAACCTCCTCCCTGCTTCTTGGAACCTATGGACTCCCCACAGTTCACTTTCCCTTTCAGGACCTCCTGTCCTCCCCGTGATTCATCAAAGAAACCAAGAGCACCTGATAGGTCCCACCTCAAGGTATCTCCAGGATGACTGTAGACCTGGAGAAAACCATTCTACTCAGAGGCTTATATTATAAAAGCATTTTATTGAACATACTCCGGAGGAAGTCAGAACCAGAACTAAGGTGGGGGTCAGGGTAGGGATTCTGTTTTGGTGGCTGACATTCTGGAAAACTTTGGATGTCTGTGTCATCGAGTACCATCTATAGGAACTTAAAAACTGACTTGCAGCACGATGCAGAACTGTGGCATGAGAGGCCCAAGGTTGGGTTCATTCCCTCCTGGGAACCAAACACATGATTCTGCAGTAGGCTTGCTCTACACTACTCTCCAGAAGAGTACACCTGGGTGACGGCCTAGAAGCAGCAGTCCCCGTGGGCCTGGAGCTGCCCATGAGGGCCAGGGTCTTGCAGTAGGCTCTTCTTAGCTCTTAAAGCTCCTCCGGGAAGAGGAGGTGGTAGAGACAAATTTGACGCTGGAGCTGCTGCCTCCACCGCTGCCAAAGCCCATGCCTCGGCCACTGCTTGCACTGAAGCCAGAGCCCCCCACACTTAGCCCACCACCCAGACCAGCACCCCCACTGCTGCTGGAGTAGTAGCTTCCACCGCCACCTCCTCCAAGACCGCTGCCGAGGCCACCGCCAAAACCACTGCCACCGCCAAAGCTACTGCCACCGCCGAAGCCAAGGCTGCCTCCTCCGTAGCCAGAAGAGACACTGTTTGTGACAACAGCTGTGGAGAAAGGAGGAATGGGTGAGATGGGTCTGTCAGATTTATTCCACACAGCTAACATGTTTGATCCTGCCTGGGGTAGAGTGTATACCTGACTTTTTTTTTTTACAAAGTAGCAGAATGGGTCAGAAGAACTAAATTATTCATTTGGGGCCCCTGACAGAAAACTGATGACACAAGGGGTAAGGTATAGGGCCAGGTACTTGGTAGAGGCAAGGCTTAAGGACAAAGCTCAATGTGTATGGATCCTATAGGAGATCAGATGGAGCTGCATCACCTCGTGTCCCTGCCTGTGTTCTGTCCTTCCACTACTTGTTTTTCACTATCTGATAATCATTTACTGGGATGGAGAATGTCTGCTATCTGGAAGAAATAGCAGGATTCTGAGCCGACACTCTAAGTTACTTACAGATGTTGACTGGTCCAACTCCTTCTCCGCTCAGTCTGAAAGACAAAAAGATGGGGTAAGAGTGAAAAACCACTCCTCCAAAACAGCAAGGCTATCATTGACATGGTTAGGGTCACACCCAAAGCCAGGCACCTGCCTGTCTCTAAATTCCTGTAAGTGAGAAAAGCTCATGCTCTCTGGAAAGACTGTTCAGTGAAGAGGACATGGCCCAGAGCTAGGGGAAGATCATGATTCCCGTTCTCCTCCACCCAGCTGCTGGCAAGCATGAGTAAGCAACAGAGAGAATATGAATATGCATAAAGCAGGTATTGCCGTAGGATCCTGCATTCTACAGGAGACCAGGAGCCAGAGAGAACCTTACAGTTAGAATGCCTGTGCCAGGAAAAATGAAGAACACATGATAGTTTGAAAACCCCGAGGAAATGAGTCTAGGTTGGCTGGAGTAGTCATGACAGGCTTCCCAGAAGGGGAGGAGAATAAGGGTGACAAGGAGTGTAGCATGGACACTGAGTAAAAGCAGAGAGAGAACATGATGCAAGATATGTCTGCTGAGGTTCTTAGCTGATGGAGGAGGGCAGAGCCCAAGAAAACGGAATGGGAAGTAAGCCAAAGACCCAGTCAAAGCCTGAGGTACGCCCTGTATCAGACTGACATCAAATGATGCTCAGCCATTTGTATGTGTATCCAGCACTCTCCATCAAACTCTCCTTTCTCAAAGGAGAGAACACCTCAGGGACATGATGTCTGCCCACCTGCACTCCTCGCCCTCCAGCAGCTTGCGGTAGGTGGCGATCTCCACGTCCAGTGCCAGCTTGGTGTTCATGAGCTCCTGGTACTCGCGCAGCAGCCGGGCCATGTCCTGTTTGGCCTTCTGCAGGGCCTCCTCTAGCTCTGTCAACTTGTTCCTGGCATCTTTGAGAGCCAGCTCTCCACGCTGTTCGGCATCAGCAATGGCGTTCTGTAGGTTGGCACACTGCAGAGAGAAAAGGAGCAGTGGGGACACTTTGGTAGCTGAACTGTCCAAACTGTCCGTTTCTGAGAGTCTAAGTCAGATATACCAAACCTGGAGCCCTAGAAAGAACTGAGTACATCCTGGCCATTATAAGTGGTGAAATATGGCAACATTGTTCTGTTCCAGCTGTGTATTCATGTGTGTGAGTGCATGTGTATATGCATGAATGCATGTGTGTGTGTGTGTGCATGCATGCGTGTGTGTGTGTGTGTGTGTGTGTGTGTGTGTGTGTGTGTGTGTGTGCGTGTGTCAAATGCAAAGCAAAAGATGTCTCCCATTCTAAGCCCAAGCCATCCTTTGTCCTTTTTTAAGTCCTCCCTACCTGCTTCTTGACATTGTCAATCTCAGATCTCAGTCTCTGGATCATCCGGTTCATCTCAGAGATCTCATGCTTGGTGTTTCGAAGGTCATCGCCATGCCGACCAGCTGTCTGTTGCAGCTCCTCATACTAATGACACAAAAGAGAAGAAAGACACCGCTAACACAGGGTGGAATTGTCAAGGAGTGATAAGTGATCGATTCTAGAGTCTGGGGCTGGTTTAGGCCTTTGTAAGATGGAGCTTTTCTGAAGTAACTTCTTGAGTGTCTTTAGTTCTCCTAAAGGTACTGCCATGAAACTCTTCCCAAGTGCCTGGGTTTTTTGTGGAAAATAGATAGCTGGCTCCTCTGCAATTTATCCCAAGTGGTCTTGGTAGTCCTGGGAGTCCTGTCCTTAGTTTTTCTCTGGTCTGTGATCTAGATATCCCTAGACAGGTGCATCCTGTAACTCAGGGGATAGCTGCTCAGGCACCCACCTTGGTCTGGTACCAGGACTCAGCCTCTGTCCGGCTGCGGTTGGCAATGTCCTCATACTGGGCCTTGACCTCAGCGATGATGCTGTCCAGGTCCAGGCTGCGGTTGTTGTCCATGGAGAGGACCACGGATGTGTCTGAGACATGTGTCTGCATCTGGGACAGCTCCTAAAGGGACATGTGAAGTTAGTCATCTGATCCTGTTACTTAATGTGTGTTTCATTTAAATCTCCCATTTATTGTACCATAATAAAATACCCACAAGGGAAGTCTAGGTTAATTGCTCACCGCATCAAAGAACATCTTCATGAAGTTGATCTCGTCCATCAGAGCATCAACCTTGGCCTCTAGTTCTACCTTGTTCATGTAGGCAGCATCCACATCCTAAGGAAATAGTGGTTGTCATGAAACAACATGTGCCGGCCTTATATGGCTCCACCCCTAGGAGAGCACAGCCCAGGGCTACAGGTTCTCTTCACCACACGCACCTTCTTCAGCATCACAAACTCATTCTCGGCAGTGGTACGCTTGTTGATCTCATCCTCGTACCTGGTGGTAAAGGGACAGGAAGTCGGCTGATGGGACTAGCTAAAGGGTCTCTTTACAGTCACTGGAAGGAGGCTTGCTCACATCTCACAGGCAGACAAGTAGGGGGCACCATAAGCTCTGGGCAAGCCCTTACCCTGTGATATGCTACCTTCTTGCAAACTGCCTGCCACCTAATCATCTAGTATCACTACTATTCACTTGTTTCAGCAATAACCCTGTAGGGGTGGGGGTGTAGTTCAGTGCAGAGCACTTGCTTAGTTCACTCTCCAAGAACACACAAAGAAATAAAACTTAGCAGCCCACTGAATCAGTACCTGATTTATGAGGCTAAACAGATTCTTGGAGCCACTAAGCTGTCATTAGTGCCCACTTTGAGAGGAAACTACCAAGGGCAATGCTGTGTCGTGAGGGCATTGGGAAGAGGGTCCCAGAGAGTGAGGGTTCCAGGATGGCATGGTTCACCAGACAGTGCTAGGAACACATGCTGCTACCCCCGCAGGTAGGTAAGCACCTTCTAGAGGGGGCTGAGCCTGGAACTTGAACTTTCTAAACAAAGACTTAGAGCTATTTCTTAGTAGTGTTGTGTGCATGCTTCTAGCCCATGGGAAAGACAGAAGCCTCAGTCTGGCTATGGAACGTATCTGTTATGACCCCAATGCCCCCCCACACCCATTACAACTCACTTGTTCTTGAAGTCCTCCACCAGATCCTGCAGTATGACCCCAATGCCCCCCCCACACACACCCATTACAACTCACTTGTTCTTGAAGTCCTCCACCAGATCCTGCATGTTCCTCAGCTCTGAGTCCAGGCGGCCCCTCTCCCCAAGGACCCCATCCAGCTGCCTCCTGAGGTTGCTGATGTACTGCTCAAACATCGGCTCCAGGTTCTGCCTCACGGTCTTGGTGCCCTGCTCCTGCAGCAGGGTCCACTTGGTGTCTAGGACCTTGTTCTGCTGTTCCAGGAACCTCACCTGGAAGGGGTAGAGTATGAGAGGGAGAAAAACTGAGTTTCGGGATTCTGTGGCATTTTCACTAGTGTGCCACTTGTCACATGCTGTCCCACCGAACTTTTTATTCAGTGCCTGGCCTGTGACCTGTGCAAGACAATCGGCAATGGAGATCCCAACATCCTCCCAGGGCACAGACAGCCCAGTAGGGGCTGGCTGGAGTGTGGTCCAATTCACTGGGGCTGGAAAAGCTCCCAGACTGCCCTATAGACACTTTGGCCTCTATGGAACCCCATTATGAGAGGCCTGAGATAATCTCATCCCACCTGAATCAGACGCCCTTATGGGGCCACCTCTAGAGGAGCGGAACTCTGTCCCTGATTGCCAGCTGCTAGTCTGACAAAAGAGGAGACTAAGTCAGGACAGAGTCACCTAGAAACCATGGCAGTGTTTGGGCAAAGCCTAGAGTATCTTCCCTCCTCCGTTGCCTTTGGCTTTCCCTCCAGAGCCTGCTCCTGCATAGGCTGTTCTAGAAAGAACCACGTCTCACCTTGTCGATGAAGGAGGCAAACTTGTTGTTGAGGGTCTTGATCTGCTCACGTTCCTCAGTCCTCACCCTCTGGATTGTGGGGTCAATTTGCAGGTTCAAAGGGGTGAGGAGGTTCTGGTTAATGGTGACCTCTTGGATGCCTCCAGGGGGGCACACAGGGAATCCAGCACCCCCATAGCCAAGTGGGGAGGTGCTGGCGAGGTCGGAGCTCAGCAGGACGCTGTGGGTGGCTCTGTTACTTAGGAGCTCCAAGGTCCCCTTTTATTCCCCTTAGAAGTGGGTTGGGCAGGAGAGCTGTCGAGCTGTGAAAGATTAGTGGGCTGGGCATGCCTGGGGGGCAGCTGTGAGCTCATCCAGAACACCTGCACAGTGGTGCGGGGTGCAAATGCTCCCGGTAGACTCTGCTCAGTTAGAAATAACCCTTTCTTGCAGCTCTGGTGTCCTGGCAATGTGTAGGGGGTGCCGCCAACTGTCACTTGTCACCACAGGATCTGGGTGCTGTGTGTAGCCTAGAGGATGCCAGGAAGTAAGGGATATTTGCCCGTGACCATTGGCCTAGAGATCCTTACAGAATCAGTGATATGACCCACTTTCCCAGCCTGGTTCATGCTGCCTTGCCAGCTTAGAGGATCTGGTCCATCACTGACCACTGGCCTAGAGATCCTTACAAAATCAGTGACATGACCCACTGTCCCAGCCTGGTTCATGCTGCCTTGCCAGCTTAGAGGATCTGGTCCATCAGTGGGGCAGAGTGAGTCCACCACCTGGCAACAATCTGCTCTTCTTACACTTGGCTGTGCAGCGGGTGCTGCAGAGACATGAGCTCTTAGCAAGGCAATCTATGGCCTCACAATTTGGGTATGTTCCAGAGAAGTGGGGTCCAGTCCTTCACTGCACTGTGCTTTCTTTAAGAGATGTCCATTCACCCCAGATAGTGCTGGGCAGATTCACCTGCAAGATTCAGACCAGAAGGCTCTACTAAGCCGCCAGCTTAAAAACCAGAGGAGATAGGTCCCCCTCACCCAGGCTGTACCTTATTGAGTTGTCTTTAAGGCTAGACACACACATCCACAGTCCCTCCTAATTCAGCTTTCTGTGTGCCCTTGGTGTTCTTTGTCCTGGGCAGACCCATGTGGGAGCTTAGTAAACTAAGGACCCCACTTAATCTTTACAAAAGTCTTCACTGGACTGGCAGCCAGGTCTCCCTTTGTGGGGAGCTGCTTTGCCAGCCTCCCCGTACCCCCCAAGCTGTGTTACAGCAAGTTCTAAGTTATTCCAACAGGGAAGAAGTGAGTCATCGTATCTGTTGATACAGGCTGAAGGCCGCCACAAACACATACCCAAAGACCCCACTTAATCCTTAACAAAAGTCTTCACTGGACTGGCAGCCATGTGTCCCTTTGTGGGGAGCTGCTTTGCCAGCCTCCCCATACCCCCCAAGCTGTGTTACAGCAAGTTCTAAGTTATTCCAACAGGGAAGAAGTGAGTCATCGTATCTGTTGATACAGGCTGAAGGCCGCCACAAACACATACCTGCAGGAGCTTCTAATCTCATCAGGAACATGTTGAGAATCGGCAGGCCTGTTATAACGGGGAACCACCCTTTTCCAAGTAGAGGGAACTGCTGTGTTTCCTCTACCTGCAGCCCAAAGCCTCCTTCAGGGCCAAAGGCATGGAAAATGGAATTTTAAGTCTGCAGATTCACTGCCAGAGACTAGACAGAGCAAGTTGGGGGAGCAGGCAGCTGGCACAATAGCCTGCCAGTTGCAAAGATGAGAGTTCCCAGAAGAGTCTCCTGCAAAGCTTGTTGGTATCACCTGTGGGAAAAAAAGGGGATTCCGGTTAGATTTTTAGCAGTTGTCTGTCCCAAGCTGTGCCCTGTCATTCTGGCTCAGGATCTGAGTGGGATCCCCTCTCTGCCCCCTCCCAGAGGAGAGCAGGGCTCTTGGACCCTGTTTGTCTGAAGCAGGAGCACTGGGAACTATCACCATGTGGGAACTGCTGAGGGGTCATGTTCTCAAAAGATCCGGAATTAGACACAGGAATCTCTGCACAAAGCCTAAGGTTGCCTCGAGGAAGACAGGGCTGCAGAAAATAATTCTTGAGTGCTGAGGGTCTACTGAGATGGTGATGGCTCACCAGGAGCTGGGCTGAGAAGCCTGCTAAAAGGTAATCCTGCAACACTCACTGGCCAAGCTGGCCTGGCAGGTCCTGGGCAACAGGTTTAGGTGTCCCTCTGCCTGGAGGGTCTCTGAGACCCACAGAGTTTACACCAGTGTTACCTTTTGTGGTCTTTTAGAGACCAGGTGTGAATTTCCAGAGATACACTGGGGACCCTAAACCCTAAGAAGAACAGCTCTAAGACTGAGGAAGGTGTCTGGATTACCCTAGCAGGAGTGCCCCTCCTTACTGGAAAATCACTGCCAAGGTTTGTCCCACCAAACACACAGCATTCAGAACTGCCCCCACTGCCCTGCGGGAAGATCCACCCCTCCATAAACATTGGGGCAGTGTCTTTCCCCATTCAGTCTTCAGGGGCTACACTGTGAAGGAGGGCTTGCCAGCATATGTTCTATCTGGTCTGAGAATTGCTACAGTAGCCACACTCAGAATCAGAGGCCAGCACCCAGAGTCTGGTGGGTGGCAAGTAACGACAGCAGGGTGTGTCGGGGGCCTCACAAGAGAAGCAGTGGGAGTATCTGTGGCAGGGAGGGTGGACCCTCGCATTTCACCAGACCAGTCCGGTAAAAGTAATAGAGAAACCTTCAGAGAGCCAGGCACCAGCTCCTCTGCTGAGTGGGAGACCCACCCCAGCTTGGAATCCCTGTGGGCAGGAAGAGCAGGATCACACTGGGTCCTGGACTCTGCTGCAGGGCACTCCCAGGACATGGTCAGACATGCCACTTAGCCTCTGTTTTCATTACCAAACCCCATGCATGGCTGAGGGGTCCCCCAGTAGCTGGCCCTTCTGTCAGAGGGGCAAGCCATAAGACAGCTCCCCTCACCTCTGTCCTAGAGAACATAGAACAGAGACCACCTCACAGACTCATGGGTGAGAAAGAAGTAAATCTACAACAATTTCCCAGAATCCTCTCCTCAGAACCCATACTCCAACCTGTGTGTCTTTGAGCAAAGAAACTTAACAGAAGATAGTATAATAAAATAAAATAAAATAAAAAACAATGGTTTTGCACATGTCTGCCAGGGCACTTCAAGGGTACAGTCCCCAAAGCCAGGGATATCTCATCAACTTCCTTGTGAACACTGCAACCCTTTCCTAGGTTAATTTGACAGATGCATGGTTCCCTCTGTCAAGTCCTTCCCTAGGTCTCTGTGTGAATCTTTTCTAAACTTGTTCTAAGTCCCAGAGACATGGCCATCTAGTTCCATATCTGCGACCATGTCTATACAGCAAGTATTTTGTGCTCTTCAGACAGGATACCTTCTGAGGATGGAGCCATGCCTCTTCTGGATACAGATCTCCCTCTGCTCTTTCCTCTCCCATCCAATCCTCAACAATATGCTGGAGCCCTTGAAAGCCCCACATCCTGCTCTAGCCCCCAAGAGAGAAGGAAAGCAACGATGCCTTCATCTTTACAGCTCTTCTCTTGAGTGTTCCGCACAAAACTGTGGGGAGCATGGCCCCACATCCTGCTCTAGCCCCCAAGAGAGAAGGAAAGCAAAGATCTTTACAGCTCTTCTCTTGAGTGTTCCGCACAAAACTGTGGGGAGCATGGCTGGAGCATGAGTCACCCAGTCATCAGGCTGTGGTTGGCAGTCCCATCCAGGAGCCTGGAGCCAGATTCATAGGATGGGGAAGGGCAGATGGAGCAGCGAGCCAGTTGTGAAGACAACTCTTCACAAAGCCTAGCCTCAGGGAGGAATTGAGAGAAGAATTTTCCTGCCTCCACCCAAATCTGCGGGGTCCCTACCCCTACACCTCTGGGACCCACTGAGGTCCAATTCTCAGGATTGTAGGGGCATGAGCGGTGTGTGTGTGTGTGCGTGTGTGTGTGTGTAACTGGCCATGCTGTAAAGTTTGGTGCACAACCCCCAGCAACACAACCATGGTTGCCTGCTGAGGCCAGGAACCATGCCAGATTATCAAGGACCTGAGTCTGAGAAGAAACCTAGATGGAAATGCAAAGGTCCAGAAACAAAGTCCTCGTTCAGGACCAGCTTGGAAGTCCAGATGTCATGACTGGAGTCAGAGTCAGAAGTGAGCCTTGACTCCTAGCTTTGAATTTTTCCTATATAAGTACTTCACACCAATTATGACCTCATTCTTGCCCCTAATACAACCTTTGAAATATTCTAGACCTCTGAATATGCTGCCCAGCCTCTCACTCCACAGTTCCCTCCACAGACTCAGGAGGAAACGAACGTGAGTTTGTTGGAATGGGCCATGCCGGCTGAGATTTTTAATGCTGAGCTGGCTGGGGCAAGCAGGAAGGGTGGGGCAGCACATGGGGGGCTGTGGGGAGCAGACTTGGCCCTGTCCTTCAGATTTAGCAGGCGATTGGCACTTGCAGACTAGAGCTGTAGAACTGAGCTCTCAGTGTCTCTCCAACAGGCCCCTGCAAGCCTGGAGATGCTCATCCTTCCTTCCTTTCAAGGGTGTTTTGCCAGTGGCCTGCATACCAAGTCTTTGAAAATCCCCCTTGCTTGATTGAAACTTTAGGCTGGAAATCAACAAAAACTTTAATTAGTCAGAGGGGCTAAAAACAGATATACCTGCCCAGCAAGAACCTTTGGGCTTTGCTTTCCCACAATGGGAAGGTTCTCATTTTTAGACAAATAGAGCTAAACTGACAGGTCTGGCATTACCCTGCACACATTTGTGCGTCTAGAAATAATGTGCTGTGCCAGGAGTCTTTGTTTGTTTGTTTGTTTTTATTTTGTTTTGTTTTTAACCATTTTCTGCACTTCTCTGATCCTCATAAGAGGGCAGGTGCATACCTTGCAGGAGTTAACCACCTCTACAGTGGAGAGGCAGAACTGTACTGCCTGTGGTTTTTAACCATTTTCTGTACTTCTCTGATCCTCATAAGTGGGCAGGTGCATACCTTGCAGGAGTTAACCACCTCTACAGTGGAGAGGCAGAACTGTACTGCCTGTGTGCCAACCTGCTCATCAGAGCCATCAAGGAAAGACCCTTCACACCCCTAACCTGCACACATTCCTTTCCCTCTGCCCCTTTCTACTCCTTCTGCAGAAGCCACGCTGGGGAGTGGAGTGTAGGAGATGTCTTCTCAGGACTTCCACCTGACTTGTTCCAAGAGGCTAGGTGCCGAGAAGGTCCTTTGTCCCCACCTGCTTTTCCTTGACTTTGGATGAGTTCCAGTCAGAGGTTGATTCCACACAGGGATATTTCCACAGTCAAGAAAGGAAATCTGGCCATATCCAGAAATGATCCCTTTCCCACTCTAGAGTTAGACCGTCTTCAAGGCTTACTGACGCCTTGCTGTCCCCAGTCCTATCCTCCACACACCCTCAGTTCCTGTCACACATTCCACTACTGACCTTGCTTTCCTGACTTCTTAGGCCAATGCCACTGCCAAGAGTTAGCAAAACAGGCTAAGGTTTTGCACAAAGAAACCAAGAAAAGAGAGTAGGCAGGAAGATTGGCAGCAATCACTGAATGATGGCTCCTTCGACGTGTGTTTTTGAGCCATTATGGAGGGCCAGGCAACAGGTACTGCTAGATGTGGCCGTGAAAGTCTCCAGCTTCTCCCAGATGAGGGAGCACAGGGATGAGCCTCCACCTTAGATCTTTTTTCCAGGCCCAGGTTAATATCCCATGTCATGTGAACAGGATGATAGTTAATTTTTATTGCCATCTTCATTAATGAGAGACTTGTAGAAAAATCAGTAAAACACAACGGGGTGTGTCTGTGAGGGTGTTCCCAGAGAAGAGAGGCATGTGGGTCAGTGAACTAACTGGGAAAGTCTAACCCTGAAAGTGGGCAGCACCATCAGGTAGCCTGGGGACTGAGCAGAGTGAAAGGGCAGAAGAGAAGGAAGTTACACTCTAGACCTTGACCCCTGACTCTTCTCTTAGCTGTTGTTGATGGCTTTGGATGCCAGACTGCAGATTGTTTGGTCTTTGAATACAGACTTGGACCCATGACTGCCTAGAGCGGCTTGAAGGCCCTCAGTCTGGAGCGGGCCTGCACCATTGCCCCTCTGTTCTCCTTGAGGCTTCGAGCTTCTTGGACTGAGAATCTATTTCTTGCTCTGGCTGTCCCACTTGCCGATGGCCGTTGTAGGACTGCCAAGCCGCTGCTCACACAAGTCAGTCAATTAAATCCTTTCATAACTGCATGCAAATGTATAACTGTCATGTTGTGAATGTGCATGCGTGTGTATGCCTCTGCATGTGTGTGTGCATGTATGTGTATGCCTGTACAGGTATATATGTGCATGCATGTGCACGCCTGTGCATGTGTTTATGTACGTGTGTGTATGCTTGAGCATGTGTGTGTGTGCGCTTGTATATTTCTGCCTGTGTATGTGTCTGTGTGCATGCATGGGTATGCTTGTGCATGTATATATGTACATGTGTATGTATACTTGTGCATGTGTGTGCATGTGTGTGTATGCCCATCTGTGTGTGTATGTGCATGCACATGTATGCCTGTGCATGTGTTTGTGTGCATGCATGTGTATGCCTGTGCATGTGTGTGTCTAGGGGAACACTATTGTTTTGTTCTTCTGAAGAAGCAGAACTAACACAGCCAGTGGCATGACTGACTGAGCTGGTTTCAGGGGAGAAAATGTTCTCCAGTGAGTCAATGACTAGCCAGCAAGTATACACTGATCTCCCACACTGATACTGTGGGTCTTGGTTCCCTTCAGAGAATCACTTCCTGCCTGTGTGGGTAGAAGGCTGTCCGGTAATGACCATGAGTAGCATTTTTTTGTTGTTATTGTTGTTGTTTTGAGACAGGGTTTCTCTGTAGCTTTGGAGTCTGTCCTGAAACTCACTCTGGAGACCAGGCTGCTCTTTAACTCAGAGATCCTCCTGTCTCTGCCTTCTGAGTGCTGGGATTAAAGGCATGCACCACCAATGTCCAGTGAGTAGCAATGATTTTACAGATTTTTTCATCCTCTCCCCTGTCTAAACCTCATGGACCTTCTGACAATAGAGAAGAGTGGCTAAATTCAGCTCCTAGGAATTTGCCACACCAGACATTATGTCCTGCTGGTGCTGGGGCAGTGTTGATCACAGAAGAGATGAGACGATGAGAAACCTTTTTCTGCCCACCTCTGCAGCTACCCTCACTCCAGCTGATGCAGATAACCACAGCTACCCACACTCAGAACCTATACAGCTCCTCTGGCAGCCTTCCACCAACTCCACGAGGCACTTCTCAAGGGTGCTCACAGTTCCTTCTACCATTCACAAACCCCTGGGTTCCCAGGCCCCTAGAGTCTCCACTCCCCAGTCCTGAAGACACAGTCACACCCTGACTTAGGGTTACTAATACATCCTCATCGCATTTGAAAAGCAGTTAATGCTTAGTGATGGTGCCACCCCCATGCCTGCCTTCCCCCTCTCCTTTGTCTCCTTCCTCTCCACCCCCCCCCAACCCTCAGCTCTCCTGGATCAAAACATGAGCAGAAACCCTAGACAGCTTCTCTGGCTGCCTCTTCCTAATGAGTAACATATGTACAATGGCCACTAGACAGGCATCTCTCTGAAACCCTGACTTCCCATGGTCCTCCAACAGCTCAGATCATAGAAAGGGCTATGCCTCGGTTGTGCTTTGTGTTACAGTGGAAGAAAATAACAGCCACATTTCCATAATACTGGCTTCCAGATAGGGTGTGGGACACATCAATCAACTCCTCTGACCTTCTCAAGCACAGGAGGTGGGCCAATTGCTCTCTCTATTTTACACATTGGAAACCGATGTCTATAGAGGGTGAGTAGCTGGTGAGTGACCACCTCCCTATGGGCTCATGCAAGTATGGACCTGAAAGTCCTTCTGTTCACCATTGTGGACACTCAGGTTGTTGATACATGCCCATAGTGTGGTTGTGAAGACTGTGACCTGTCAGACACCCAAGCAGTCTGTGAGGGCAGCAAATGCAGGGGTCATCTGCGTCACTAAGCAGTTAGTGTGCCTCAGCATCTCCAGCAACCCTTGAATGAAATAAGGGGTGGACTTTGAGGAGCCCCCTCCTCCTTTTTTAACTTCCAGGGGTTGGAGAGGGGCATCTGGGATGCTGGGTCAGGCTTCCGGGAGATGGATGTGGTCATCTACTACTTCCCCAGGGGTTAAGCCTGGGGTCAGCTACTGCCTCAGATGGGCCAGACTACCCAGGGGCCTCATCAAGATTGGCTGGCTCCATGTGTGATGCTACCTCACAGAGAAATCAATGCGCCAGCACCTCTTCCTTTAAGCCCGAGTCACACCCAGGAAGAGATCCTAGGGGAACGCTGTAGTCACCACTGCCGCAGTGCCCCTGCAAGATGGAGTGCCCCAGCTTTTTAACCTATGAGGCTTCAATGCTATCTGCTGACCTGTCAGGATTCCCAGGCAGGGTCTGTGTGTGCCAAGGAGCGAACAGAAGCTTCATTCACATGACCTACCCCACCCC